TAAATGGCATTCAGTGAGTGACATGGTAGAAGAAACAGTCAATTACCCAACTATTAGAGGGAAAACGGACATCTTTTTGCTTGATTCATAAGACCAAAGCTAGAAGGAGAAGGGAAATGAGTCTGACTTACAGGCAGTTATATGTTTTCTTGTGTGTAATTACAATAATGTCAAATGTTTTGGCATAATTAGTGCTAAAAGAAAGCGAGACAGCTATTTAGCTAGATACCTAACCAACCCACTTGTCCTCTTCAGCCCTCTTCTTCACATAATTGCTTTGACAGGACTAGAGAAGTTTCTAGAAAATTACTTAAAATAATCAGTTCTCAAAGTTGCATGAACCCCAATTTAACTGTTCCTCATCGTCCTTTTGCAGTTTCAGCCTTTTTAGTACCTTTGTATTATCTACCGCAGGACGTTTTGTACATTTTTTCATACTAACCAAATGAACGTCTACTACCAGATTTAACAGTGGTTTGAAGTAATTTTTTACATCATACTCACAGTCTGCTGGAAGGAAATATGAATATATGACTGATAAATGACAGCAACCTTTGGAGTTTATGTCCTTTGATACCCAAACTTTACAGGTATGACAGGAGCCATCCTTGACTAGATGTTTAATTCTAGCCATGCACCAATTTCAGTTGTAAAGAAATAAGTTTATCTAGCAAAACCAAAACAAACAAAAGACTAGCAGGAGGTTTTCATAGTTTTTTTTTTGGTTAAATGGTTTGAGTATTGACATGAAATGGACAAATTGGTAAAAGGTTCACGATATTATTGGTTAGAGGAGTAAATTGATTGATTTGTGGTTAATACAGAATGTCTTGAGGCACAATGCTCTTTTTTGTCTGTATAAAACTCCAGAAAGATTAAACGGTGAAGGGGTGAAATGACCAGCACACCCATTGAAAGAGTTTGCAATTTATTTTTACTGTTTTAAAAGGTAAATAAAAATTTTGACATTGCTTCAATCTCCAGTTTCTTCAGTGGACAGGCACTGGGCAAGCATGTTTGAGGCTTAATAATAAGAAAACTCAGAGAGGAAGAAGATGTTACTTGCTGATCCAATTATACCAATTACAGCTATTCATGCTGTGCTTTCGTGACATTCAGCGTTTTCTGTTTTGTACCAATAATACATGTGGGAAGGATTAAATATTTCTGTTTGAATCGTAACTGCTTGACATTTATAACACTAAGCGGTCGATCAAAACTGTGAATGAATAATTTTTAAGAATTCATATGAAGGAGTTCAATTTCTTGATTGTGTGCAATCAAGAAATTAATGGAATTGAAAACTTTTTTGTTCTTGTGCCAGTAGGAGGTAAAAATATAGTTGAAATGTGACCTATCATGCTGCCTTGAACAGGTTAGGATAGGTTTGTGGACGACACAAAACATATATCAAATTATTCTTAGATAATAATATTTATCTAACATGAGAGATCGGGCATTCGCTGTGGCTGCCCCCCGTCTCTGGAACTCTCTCCCGGATTGTTTGAGAGCTCTGCAACCACTGGTTCACTTCAAAAGAGGCTTAAAGATTTTTTTTTTATTTAAGCAAGCCTATTCTGCCTCCACATGATTTTGATTATGTTGATTTTATCTATGATTTTAGTTGCACTGTGTAGCACTTTGAGATTTTTCTAATGAAAAGTGCGGTACAAATTAAATTGATTATTATTATTATAGTCTGGTCAGTTCTGCCTGTTTTGAGTTCCTTTCAGAATTAGCTGTTTTAGGGCCTCTTGTCACTTCAAATTCAAATAAACTGCTTCTGGCCACACCCCCCCCCCACACCCGCCAGACTCAACATTTATACTCACACATGAAAATAACTGCAAACAGAGGCGTAATTATACAAGCATGCATCCTTGAAAAGCAGAAGTGGATCCTCCTGTACAACCAACAATAATATACATTGCAAAAACACATACTCGCACCAAGTATTTTTTTTAAATCTAGATTCCTGTGCAAATATCTTAGTACATTTAAAATAAGACAAAACAAATTTATAAGTGACTTTTCTGGAAGACACAGGAACTTGCTTTAAGTAATTGATTTTTTGATATTGATGAAAAAGTACTAGTTATATTGGCAGATTATTTTTCTTATAACATGGGAAAAACATCTTGTTCTAAGTGAACATCTGCCAATGGAACAAGTCGTTTTTCATCAATATTAAGGAATTATTTACTTAAAACAAGCTCTGATATCTTCCTGAAAAATTACTTCTAAGATAGTTTTGCCTTATTTCAAGTTTACTAAGATATTTGCACTAGAAACTAAACAAAAATTACCTGGTAAGATTTTGTGTTTTTTGCAGTTTGAGCAAGTGGCTTCTGGGGAGTAAGACAAAAGCAAAACGCTTGTCTTTTCCAACAGCCATTGTACAGCAGTAAAATGCGCAGGAGCTCCGCTGGGGTTGATAGGTAAAAGTGGCTGTTGATTGTGACTTAACATCTCGTTTTCTAGACAAGAAAACATTAGCTTATGGTCAAATAAACACTTGGATTGTTTTTTTAAGTGCTTGGGGGTGTTTTCAGAAGCAGTTGAGACCCATCTGAAAGAATAAAAACATGCAAAATATTTATTTTGCATACTAGGTCCCCTTTAAACAAACAAGAAAAAAAAAAGCAAGTTTGATTGTAAAGAAAGTGACCTGTAGATTGGGTCTATAAATGGTCAGATTAGATATTTTTCCACAGCGCAGTCACCCAGATGGTCTGTGCTTCGTTCACGGAGGTGCGATGTGACACACAGAGCTGCAGACACTCGATTCAGTGTCACAGCAGTTTGGTTCACCCAGAGATGACTCATTGTCCTGCTGAGTGTAATCACATCAGAGACACCAGGGAGACAGGTCCTCCCCACTGTAACCCGCCTTCCTTCTCGTCTCCCTCCTGAGGATTTGTCTTCTTCTTTCTCCGTTTTTCATTAGCTCACAACTGCTCTCATTCCTAATTATGAATAGATTACTCTTCGCAACTGTAATTTTGCCTGCAAGAATTAACTTGCAACTTTTTAGCAGTGAGTTATTTCACTGCAATCAAACCAAAGCCACTGCAGCTGCAAAAGTGGGATTCAGGGTGAGACGAGGCCTGGCAATCAATGATCCAGGGTAATGTCTCCCTTTGGTTAGACCATCGATTGTTCATGACGCTATTTCTGTCCTTTTACTGGAGTCTTATTTTAGCTTTTCAGACTAATGATTCATTGCAGAGCGGAAAGAGCAAAGATCCTTTGATGTGTGTTTTCATGTTGCAAGCCTCTGTTGGTGTGTTGTTAGCTTTGAAATATGCAGAGGGGATGAGTGAAAGAAGCTGCCCTTATTATTTCTTTGAAAATGAAATAATCTGCTGGTTTCAAGCCACTGATATGCTTTGTGCAGTGCGGCACTGCAGCAGGAGTCGCATACTGTAGAGGGGGATTAGTGCCTGTCTGTGTCAGGGACCACCAAACTTTTTATGAGGTGAGACCACAGGCTAACATGCCACTGAAAATAGGCTACTGGTGCTGCTATGAATCAATCTGGGAATAACAAATCTGTGTAAAAAGACTAGAATGATGTCAGTACTGGAACGTCTTATTTAATTCCATATTATGAAAGTAGAGATGCATCAAACAAGCTTCATATTAGCTGATTTTGTAAACCTTTGACTTGCTAATGTAATCTATATTCTTGCAGATTGCTAAATTAGTTTTTTGTTCTCAGATCATCAGTAAAGTGTATTAATAAATACAACAAAGTATAATGCAAACCAGTGTTTTATTTTCTCATTTTAGTTATTTTCTTGATTATTCTCATTTCCTTTTTACCCTTGCCTTATTTTCTTATTGCACAAATGCCAAGTAAAGAATCTTAAATCTGGATTTTCTCTTTTAAAAACACAAGAAGATGTAAGAACATTTTTTTTTCTAGCTTTTCTATGAGCAGTCATTCATTATTTATATAAGGAGCAGATGTAATGTCATGCTGCATGAGTTTGAGAGGAGTTGCTGAGAAACAGGGTTTCTATGACGTTTTAAAACAAAGACAACATGATTATGGATTTGATAAAAACTGTCTGAAAGTCCTGTATTTTCAGCTAGTGCAGTTAGCATAGCAGAAGTATTTAGGTTTATTCACTGGGAGAGTGTAGCTCCTTACCTTCCCTCTGAGATTTCTAAAAGATTTTCCAAACATTTCCAGATCAGGAATCTGATCCCAGATAAAGAAGAAGTTGATGGATGGATGGAACTTGCTCTATATGAGTTTGAACACGTAAAACAGAGATGAATCATTGCTTTGCAAGAATATAATAGCACCAAAACAGTTAGCAAATCCCACTGGTTTTCTCAAATTAAAATCAGCTTTTTTCTTGCAGTTTTCTTTGCTTTCTGTCTGTTGTCATCTTCTGTTTTGTTAACCGGTTTCTTGATGCTGCCTATGTTTCTGTCACAAGTTGCAGGTTTTACTGAGAATCACATTTAATTACAGCATTTGCTCTTATTTAAACTTTTTGTGCTGAGCTCTGTTTCTGCTCTCAACACTCTTCCCCTTTTTATTCTTAATTATATGAGATGCTTGGTCTTTAAAAACATGGGAAGCTAATCATGAACGGTAATGGGTCATAAATATGATGCTTTCCTTGGAGGGTGAAAGTACTTTAATTTAAATAGTGGAAACGACTTTATCAATACCTTTTTACAGCATCATTTCCAAAGCCTTGCTCTCCTTTGCAATTTGACTCGTCCTCCGCTGATCAAGACACTCTATATTTGGATTCTCTCTAGAGAGTCTGTCTGGCCAAAAACCCAGAGTTGCTCTGTCCCACTCACTTTTCTTTTTTTTTTTTTTACTCTGACAGGCTCTGAGAAGTTGGATTCAGTTCCTTCTCAGATGAACAAGGTCACATTAACAGAGCCAGTAGTAACGCTTATTTTTCCATCTCCTGCAGTGTCTCATACTCAGGACACACACCACCACTCCAGCGAGAAGCCCCTGATTCAGTGCTACAAGTGCGGGGAGCCATGTAAGGGCGAGGTCCTCCGGGTGCAGAACAAACACTTTCACCTGAAGTGTTTCACCTGTAAAGGTAAAGGAAAAAAAAACATTTTGTAACAGGAAATGTACTGATTTGAGTAACTAATATTCAATTTTTTATGTGTTCATTTGATGTTGCTTGCAAGATTGTCTCAGCCTTAACTCAGCTTTGAGAAACCTAATATCCCTGATGATGGATGAACATGTGGTCTCTCTACAGTTCAAGAAATGAAACAGCTTGGATTTTTTTTAATATAAATAAAACTGTGGGAGTTGTGTGAAAATGTGTAGCTGAAGTGCCAATAGTAGATACTGACTATTCATGTAGCAGTCATATATTTTCTATAATTGTATGGACTACGAAGTAGCTTCTATAATAAGGTTAAATGAGGTCTCTTAACTAATTAAGATGCCATTCAGACTTCAATATGTAATCATTGTAATCCACATGGGTGGAACGCCTTTGGCATTCTGGCACATGCATAATGCAGGCTCACTTTACTAATCAGGCAGCCCTATTTTGACCTGAACTCACCCTGTTGAACCGTTGTTGTTAATCGGTGACTTAAACACTGTTATAGAGTTAGCTCAGCTCGCCATGGGCTCAGAATAACACTGTCCAACGCTGAGATTAGTGCTAATTCTGTCTTTTGGTCGGGGTTAATGATTCTCAAAGGGGACACAAGAACAGCTTTACTGGGCGCCGTCTTAGTCCTAGTTTTAACTTTTTCCTCTGTTCCCTGACAAATCTATAGGATGAAGCTGAAGCCTCATCATTTTAGAAATAAACCAAACATGACATCTTTGCTTTCTTTCTCTTACTACATTTGACACACAAATTCAAGTTTCCCCCTTTTCAGTTGAATTTCATGAATCCGTCTTATTGAGTTTACTATTTCTGTAGTGGTATGAGACTTAAGAAAAGTGGAAACAGCTGGAGCTCAAAGTCTGAAGGCACCACATCTCTGGTGCTGGTTTTCTTTTGGACTCAGTTATGTCAGTAATCTCATCATCTCTGGGCTCTAATGCAATTAAAGATGATTCCTTTCGTCACCCTCTCCATCCATCCTCAGGACTTAGTGTTGGCCGTTTACATAAGAATGATATTTAACATTAAACAGTCCACAAAGGTTTTAAAATTACAGGCCTATAAATGAAGTGCATGGGTCATGATGGAAGCTTTTGATGAATGTTCACAAATTTTCTGGCCACTTGTTAAAAGTTTATTAAAAACCGAAAAGCATTTTACCAGCCACCAAGACCAAACCCCGATAAAGTTGTAGCTAAATGCGTAAGTTGTGGTGAAATTTATTTTACTTGTAAATTTTAAAATGCTTACAATAAACTATTTTGAAATTTTATTTAATTGCTTGAATTCAACATTTTCCTTCATTAAATGATTAGAACAGGGCAGATGAGTTACTTTTACAAACTTGGAGCTGAATTCAACATCACATCACATTTCTCACTTTTCGTAATCCTCCACATAGCATCTCTAGTTATTTCAGTGTTTCATGTTTGTGCAGACTACAAGGTTATATTTGAATTGAAGGAAACTTGTTGGAGCCTGAAGATTTGGCACATTATTCAAAACCGTTTATCAGCAAAACAAATCTTTCCTGAGCTAAATTATTACTTCGTTTTGTTTTAGTTGTGCGATTATAATCAAAGATGATTGAACACTTCTATGTTTTGCTTCCCACTGCAATACAGAAAGCAGTTAGATGTATTTCCCTGTGACCTTTTAGTCAGCAGCTATTTCACACACTGGGTGAGCCTCTCAACAAAGCCACCGGTGCGTTCAGGGGTTGGGTGGCTTTAATGGCAGATATTGGCAAAGGACTAAATGAGAACAAATGTATGTGTCATGTACAGTGTGCGGCTGTGACCTCGCCCAGGGGGGCTTCTTCATGAAGAATGGGGAATATCTGTGCATGCTCGACTACCAGCGCATGCACGGCACCCGCTGCAATGGGTGCGGGGACTTTGTCGAGGGAGAAGTCGTCACCGCCCTGGGCAAGACCTACCATCCTTCCTGCTTCGTCTGCACCATCTGCAAGTAAGGCGTCTGCTGAAGCCATGGCTTGAATATCTCTGCAAACGTAACGTGGATTTCAGAAACATTTCTTAAAGATTCCAGTTCAGTGAGAATCACATCATGCACAGCAGGGGCGTGTCTAAATCTTTTTTTTTTTCTAATTATGGGGCAAGATTGTCTCAGCCTTAACTCAGCTTTGAGAAACCTAATATTCCTGATGATGGATGAACATGTGGTCATCCATCATGACCACATGGGTGGCACGCTAAAATTGTAATTTCATATAAATGCACTGCAGTCTTACAATGAACAGTGGAAGAAAACGTGAATAACATAATCATTTATTTATCCAAACAAAACACATGAATCTGTTTAGCAGGCTTATTTTCTTGTCACATGATTAGCCTGTTTAGCTTAGCATAGCTTAGCTAAACAGAAGAGTATACAACTCTTTTTTTAACGCCGTTGTGCTTGCTCTATTCAACTTATCAACTTAAAGTCAAAATTACTGAGCCATTATTGATTACAAATTGCAAACAACTGTTTAATTACCCCCCTTTTCTCCTTTATGAAAAGTTTTTTTTCTTTTTTTGCAGTATGGAGGCTGCTTTTTATTTTTCTTTTTAAACGTCATGTACATCAACCTGCTGAAGGGATTAGGGACGGAAATAAGCCACTTGGCTATTATCTCCTGGATTTTCTTGTAAATGTTAATTAATATGTAATGTTGCATTTAAAAAAAATCAACAAAAAAGCATTTCTGTCATCTACTGAAAGTGTAGACAAAATCTATGCACAGTATTTATTTGTTTATATTTTAAATGTACTTTATTTCAAACAAATAACATTACATAGAAAGATCTTCAACACAATAAGTATTATCAGATTAATCTGTAGAAACAAATTAAACAGAGGAATGATGTCATATAAATAATATAAAATAACCACAAGCAGCTTTTGCAATCTTCAATAAATTTCTACGTAAATGGATAAAATAAAATAAGGCACACCTTTTAGTCAATGCAAACATTTAGTCTATGTACAGTACAAACTGATTGGCAGCTGTGGTGGGTGTGGCCAGACAGGGTGGCCAATCAGATTTCAAGGACAGCTGGTGACCACACCCAGGATGCACAGACTGATTTGTGGTGATGAACTAAGATGAGACTGGTGGGAAATCCAGTCGACAGTGTGCAGCAGAATGCCATGTGTCGTTTCTGTATGTTGTCTGACCAAATGTCCTACTCAGGCGCTCAGTGTTGACACACATCTTCATCAGAGAGTCCTGTCATCTTCAGCCCTGCAACCCGTAACTAATAAGCTGTAACACTTGCCACGGGGCAACAACACCATGTTGTTTCTTTGACTTCATGTCTGACAGACGACCGTTCCCGGCCGGAGACAGGGTGACCTTCAACGGGAAGGACTGCCTGTGTCAGTACTGCGTCGAGCCCATCTCTCCTGGACCGAAGGACATCCTGGGCTCCAGCAGTAAGTAGCTATTGTTTTGTTTTATAAAAATACAGGAAGGAAATTAGCTTGGCAAAAGCTCATGTTTGGTTTCACTCGAGGCTGGAAAGCGTGGAGTAACTAGTGTGTTGCTCCATGACTTCTAATGTAGTTGTTTACAGTCTTTTGAAACTACTTTTCAGGCTATTTACGAATTATTTACATGTCAACATCATGTAAATATTAACTGAAATTTTGTTTAAACACATGTGATTTTACTCATTTAGAGAGAATATGTCGGAGAATTTGAAAATATTCCACAGATAAATCCTTTCAGGCACTGTTTTTCAAAAATATTCCCACAAATTTTGATATATTTTGTTAAGGTGTTGGTGGGTCTTTGTGAAGTTAAATTAAAAGGATATGAGTTTTCCCAATTTTGGCAACGATTTGTAAAGACTTTGGTAAAAAAAAAAAAAAAAACTAAACGAAGAAACATAAAACACAACATATGGTAAGACTTGGATATTTTAGACGCCTTAATCTGAAGTATTCAATCGTATAGTTGACTGCAGATGTAGAGGTGTTATTTTTCTGGGAGGTGAACCTTCACTCTAGTGTCTATTCTTTTCCTGGCTCTAACAAGTTTTCTTCTGAAATCTCCCCACATTAACCGTCCTGCAGTAAAAAAGCATCCCAAAGCATGATGCAGCCACCACCATTTGTCGCAGTAGTGAAGCGTAGTTTCAGTTTTTTGCCAGACATAACGTTTTAAGCAAAGGTCAAACAGTTAAATTATGGACTCATCTGACTAGAGCACCTACTTCCACATGCTTATGGTGTCCATGGTAAACTGCAAAGAGGATTTCTATTAATCACGATGAATCAGGATTTCTTTCTGACCAAATTTCTTCCTCGAAGACGATGGCTCCCCACTTTCCTTCCATTTTTGATAATGAATTCAATAGTTCTCAACCCAATTTTAGTCTGTATTGCAATCTTTTTGGATGTTTTCTCTGATGAATGCCAATCATTTCACACTTCTTAGACAGACTAATATCCTCTCCACAATCAGGATGTTTTTTTTTTTTGTTTTTTTTTGGACAAAGCTGTGTAAGAAGTGAGAAGCTACTCTTTAATACGTTAATACGTTCAATATGTTGTTGCCAGCTGTAAGATGACATATAGTAATTATCTAACAGAGAGGGAATCACAAAATGTGGAACAGTTTAAAGGGCATCAATATTTTGAGAGGCAATACAAATACAAGGGAGCATGAAATGATTACAATTTTCAATCACAATTAACCGCAGGACTTCATGCAATTAAGAGGGATTAACCCGCATTCATTCACAAATTAAAAAGACGTTTTAGGAAGTTGAGGATTTTGTCCGCACAAATGTGATTAAATTACTCGTAATCTCTAATTAGATGTCCAGACGATTTTAGAATAATTGCTATTGGTTGTTTGCTGTGTTCATCATCATAGGAATAAAAATTAAAACCCATCTGATGAAGTTATAATGTTTCCTTTTTTTCATACTAACTACAATAAAACCCCCCACACATTTCTATTTGTTAAAGAAATAAAAAGGGCGAAACACACAATGAGGTGAACACTTTGTAAAGTCACTGTATACAACTTTCTTGAAAGTTTAAAATGGTGTAATATTAGCAACAATCTGCAGCTATATGCTGTTTATTCAGGCAATAAAAGACCAACTAAAACTAAATGTCAAACAGATGTAAAGGAATCTTTTCCAATCCACATAATATCCCAGAAAGTCTCCAGTAAAGCCAAAGGAATGAGAGGAATGACAGAGGTCCACCTTTTGAAGGGGATCCTCCAGCTCTCTCTCTGCACAGCTCTGCTTTGTGTATAACACCAAGACAGGCATTGCTAAATAATTCATACCCATGCATTTCCTTCCCTCTGGAGCGGGGAATGCGTTGCCCTGAAATACCCCTCCTCTTCCAGCTCCTCATCCTCTCCCTCCTGCTCGCCTCTCCCACCCCTGCTGGTCTCTCTGCTTGTGTTTGAAGAGCTTTTAGACAAGGTCACCTATAAATAAGGCATGCTGATTCTACTCGCGTCATCATCATAGCCTTGTTATGCCGTGCAAAGTTATCCTCTGTGCTTACAGTTGGCTCTGAGTTGTTCTATTTATTAAAGAGGAGATGGCGACCAACATTTTGCACTTGCACTGCCTCAAGATCCTACTTGGATATGGATGAAGCTTTCAGTCCTGAGTGTTGATAAGAAGGGGCAGCTGTCAGACCGCTGCTGATTGCACTCTGTCTCCATCTAATGTCTCGGGTCAGAATTGACACGCCTGATCAGTTTTTCAGCTCGTGGAGGCGTGTTTTTACTTGAATCCAAACTTTTGTTTCTGGCAATGTCAATTTATTTTATAATTCAACCAAAAATATTGCTCACTCAGTTAGAATGTAGTCAAAAAATTGAATTTATTTCAATAACTGAATTCATTTGTAAAACTTACAGGATATACAGACGTAACTCACACAGAATTATATATTTTAAGTGCTAGTTTTGATAATACAAACCAAAATTCAGCAACACAGAAATTAAGCCAATTTCCTAGCCTACAACACACAGTGATACCATCTTCATCAAAGCACATTTTGGTACGCTTGGCATCATGTGTAGGTGCCAAATCCCACTGGAGAATGGTATCAACATTTCCATACAGATTGTCAGTAAAAGGGAAAGTTTTGAAGTAGATGGCCACATTGACTTTGGAGTTGATAAAACACTGTGAACCAACTCCAGCAGATGACTTTGCTCCCCAAACCTTCACCCCAAACCTTATGGATGAAAAAAAAAAAATCATTCATGTAATATTCTTCCTGCTTGATCAACTGAATTTATTAGCTGTAAGTCATAATCACCAAATTTAACAAAAAAGAATCACTTGACATAGATAATTGTGTAAAATGTGCAAAATAGCTACATAATAAATGGGTTTCACTTTTTTATTGGCATTATTGACAGGAATGAACCTTTCGTATTGCACCTAACCGCACTTTCTACTCCTTCTACCTTCCTAGATTGCTCAGGATGTGGCCGCGACATCAAGAACGGTCAGGCTCTTTTGGCGCTGGACAGACAGTGGCATCTGGGTTGCTTTAAGTGCAAGGCCTGTGGCAAAGTGCTGACCGGGGAGTACATCAGCAAGTAAGCAGCTGCTCTCTCAACACGCCTCCTGCTCAGATCCAGCCGTGTGTTGTGACAGTATGTCTGGATCCTGGATTGGATTTGTCCCACTCCTCTTTATAGGGATGGCGCCCCCTACTGTGAGAAAGACTACCAGATCCATTTTGGAGTTCAGTGTGAGGCGTGTCATCAGTTCATCACGGGGAAGGTGTTAGAGGTAAGAAACTGCACACCCTGCATACAGCTGATAGACTCCATACAAAAGGAAGATGTGTCCCTGTGCACTCTCTGTGCAGCCATCTATCATGCTTCTTGGAACAAATTATTAACCTCATCTTACTCTTATGTGAGCCTGCCTAAGGTAAGAATATGAAGGCACAATGTTTTTACGTAAAACTGCTGCAGGAATATTCTTGAACGTACATAATATTGTTTGGAATATGCATATTTAAATGTTTTGCACTGAAATAAATGGAGAATTTGCATATATTAAGCTGCTCTGCTTCCAGTATAAAATGTTGCACAGAGCAGAATTGTGAAATGTAGTTTGTAATCCCTGATGTGTAATCTCTTCAGCATCCATCCAAGCAGACTCTTTTACATGACTTTTTGCATGTAAAATATTAATTCTTTGCAGATTTTCTAACTCCAGTGACATGCACTATACAAGTTTTCGTTGCCACAAATTACATAATTATTACATAAACCCACCCAATGAATGTCCTCTGACATTTAGGATGTGATTATTTATTAATTCTGTATGTCGTGCGGCTCTTATGAAACTCTGGGCTTAAGCTTCATATGGTGTGAGCTGTGTTTGTGTAAATTAAGTTTTGGGCACTGATGATCTGTCTGCACAGCAATAGTAACCCATCGGAGGCAAACAGGAGCTCTTTATACTTTATGAAGCCACCACAATCATATAAGAAAAAGCAGTTCCTTATTCACAATATTAATTATTTTTTATGCTGAAAAGGAAATTTGAGTCAGGCCATAAACTGGACAGTAATAGCACAGACAACTGAACTGTTTTATGCAGTAAAATGCAAATACTATGCATATCACTAAGTGTCCACTTGCAGGCTGAAATGTTACACAGAGTTGTTATCCTGCAGGCTGTATTTCATTTGGCTATTTATCATCCGTGGTCAAACTCGCAGTAGCTTTTATGATGGAGCACTTTGCATGCAAAGTGCCACATCTGAGTGGAAGGAAATTTAGACTCTCCAGCTATCATATCTTTTTATTGCGTTGTGTTTTGTAGGTTCGCTCAAAGCGGGTTTTTGAAAGGCAGGTTCACCGTTGAGTGGATGGATGTCGTGGTGGTCACATTTTGAACAAAGTCAGCGATTTTGTGGGTCATCGTGCTTGAGTGCAGCATGCAAAGTGAAATTAAGCATCCTCTTTAAAGGGAGTGCGATACATTAAGAGTAACCTGGATCTTGGAAGGAGGAAGAAGTGTAACAGGAAGCAGGTGGAGCACCTGGTTTTGTAGCCTGGAAGTCTCAGCTTGGCTCGCTGCAGGCTTCATTGATCTTCATTTCCATGTGATGTCAAGTCTTTTTTTTATTTTATTTTTTTTGTTGAGTTTTTGCTCCGTGTTTTTCAGGCAGGAGATAAGCACTACCACCCCAGCTGTGCGAGATGCAGCAGGTGCAATCAGATGTTCACAGAGGGAGAAGAGATGTATCTGCAAGGTGAGTGGATCTAAATTCACTGTTGTGATCTCTTGGGTAAATCTTAGGTGAGCCACTAATAATGGGTTTGAAGCAGGAAATAATATACATGCCTAAACATAAGAGGTTGTTACACGTGATAGTTGTTACTTTTCCACTTTCTCCCATCAGGATTAAGCTACAAATAATGTGATTCATTCTCCACATGCCTAATTTGTCTTATATTAACTTAAATAGCATATATCAACAAATTGGCAATTTAAGAATTAAAAATTGTTTTAAGTTTTTTTTAACTTAATGTCATTTTCTGCTTTGCAGCTAGACTCGTCAAACATTAATTATGTTATTTGCATGTCCATATGGGTATATTTTCTATCTCCACAAAGAATTTCCATTGACTTAAATTTATTTTTAATTAATTTCTATAGGCTAAAGCTGGCCCTTACCTTAAACCTAACAAACACCTGAAACTTCAGAGACAAATGAAGACAATTACATAGTCGGCCTTCTATCACCAGAAGAACATTTCTAAGGTCAAAGGACTAAAATCCGAGCAAGATCTTGAGAAACTCATTCATACATTTATCTTTAAAACACAAGTGCAGCTATCAACAATTTTTCCACATAATTGTTGAAGGAAGAATAATTTGATCAACATTCTTGTCAGAATTTGTAAAGTTCATGAAGATTGGTTCTTTTCTTGGCACAGATTTGGCTTTTAATGATGATTGATAATAATTATTTAAATTATGGGACCAAAAACATTTGTTTGGGCTTACATAATCACCTTCCGTCTTGCTTTCCAGGCTCGACAGTGTGGCATCCCGGCTGCAAGAACACCACCAGAACAGAGGAGAGACACAGAGAGCGGGTAGGAATTCGGGAATTATTTCTATGCCACTTCCTGTTACCTTTCTGTTTTAGCCCTCTTGACATTATTTTCCAGGAAAAGACAGAGATTAAGAATGTGTAACAAGCTCAACATGCTCTCTTATGTTCCCTGGATGGACATGTTAAACTTTAACCATCTGTGGTTAAAATAATTTGCCTGCTTGGGCACTGTCGAGGCTGTGTGCGAGTGTTTGTTTGTTCATATTTACATGTGATGATGTGTGTGTTTGTGTGTGTGAACTGGTGTTGGGCAGAAGAGGCACTGTGAACCCCCCCTCTCCCTTCCTCCACAGCTGTTGCCTCCGTCCCTCTTATTCCTCCAACAAACAGAAAGGCAGGTACTGTATTCAGTATTGGCTATCAGATGGCATCATCCTGTATTTCCACCACATACATTAAGGACCCAGATCACTACATGCTGCCACCTGCTGGAGACAGCCTGCAGTGCCCTCTCTCTGGCTCAGCCATTCAGTGCAGACCTAACCTTGTTCACTTCTACGCTGCATGATGAGACAAAGAGGCACACATTTAGTGGAAGAGAAAACTTTTAAGTTTTGAGTAATTTTTCTTTTTTTTTTTAAATAAAACCTCCATTTACCCAAAACTCATCGGATTCAGACCTGCTGCTGCCATTCAGCTTCCTCATCTCCAAGCATGAGGCTCTTTAGACCATCAAACCACAGAGCTAAAGCACTAATTCACTTTGCAAAATTTGCAAATGAATGAACTCATCATGAGATGACATGTTAGTATTAAGTGCCTTAGGTTACCAGAGTACAGAAGACCAACTACTACCTTGGAACTTTTAAACACATCCCTGCTGCAACACAACTGAATCAAAACGCTGAAACAAGCCATTCTTTAGATTCAGATGGGTTGGAGCAGAGATGCATTTGAAAGTTGCAGAATTGCAGCTCCCCAGGACTGGATTTGGGCAAAACTTGCTGCAAGATATAAGGTGGTTCCCCCTCATTGCTCATACAACAATTAAGCTAATGTGAACTGTTCAGGGAGATTGGAAAATAATCTACAAGAGCATCCCAAAAAATTAGAACACCATTAAGACACCTAAAGTTCAGTTTCTCAGAAAATTATGAATATCACATAAGATCAACAAAACCATCAGTATAGAAATGTGTTGTTATAGTAAAGCTATGACTGACGAAGTCATGAGAAAGTCTGGTAGCTTATGAGTTGTCAAGGAAGTACATCGTCAGAGAGCACGCCACAAAAGGTCATTGTTAAAGTCATTCTTAACGCCTCAGCGCAGCTGATTTCATCCATGCCACGCCACATCGATTCAGTAATTCATGTAAAATGAGCCTCAGGTACCACATAAACATTAAGCTGCAAACATCTCTGTTGCTTTTGCACTTTTTCCAACCACATTTTTTCCTTCTACTAAGCTTTCCTATTAGTACGCTGGGACACAGCTCTCTGTGAACAGTGAACTTCTTTTGCAAAGACTTTTTGTGGCTTGTTTTTCATGTGAGGGTGCCAGTGAATGTCTGTTGTATAACTGTAAAGTTCTTCTTCTTCTTCTTCATGATTTCTGTATCATAGCATTTCTGTGCTTTGTTGTTATTAAGTAATGTTTACATTTTCTGAGAAACTAAATTTTAGTTTTTCATTAGCTGTAAACCATAATCACTGAAATGATCAGAAATAAATGCATAGAATATGTCACCCTGTATGTGATGAACCTATACAGTATTTGAGTTTGACTTTAATTCATTTGGTGAAGTAAATCAACTTTTCAGTGATATTCAAATGAATTAAAATGTAGTTGCAATTTGCAGATTGCAGCTGGTTGTGGATTGTGTTAAAAGAGTGACTTACTTACAGATAGTTTAAAAAAAATCTACCCATGTTTTTGTATTTCATAGCCTACGAGGTCGTCGTCTGAGAGCATTTGTTCCAGACCTGGTTCAAGCATACCTGGCTCACCGGGTCACACCATCTATGTGAGAAACTCCCGCTGACATGCTGAACATGTCTAAATATATTTAGATAGTTTCAAATCTCAATAATCTCCCTTCATTCTTGTGTGTGTTTGCATATTTGTCTCCCTAGGCAAAAGTAGACAATGAGATCCTTGATTACAGAGACTTAGCTGCCATTCCAAAAGTCAAAGCCATTTATGACATCGAGCGCCCTGATCTTATCACGTATGAACCCATGTACACAACCTCTCTGGACGAGAAAGACGAGAGACGAGAGTGTGTGGGAGAGGTAAATACAATAATTGCATGCTTCTTCTTCTGCTGAATGCACACCAAAATGACCAGCAGCCTGGTAAAGATGAGTAAAAAAAATGTTTTTTTTCCCTTGAGACAACTGTTTTGTTTTTCTCAGCTCCTCTCTGCTAGACGGGAGCGTTCCCCGATGCCCGATGACAAGGTAAGACGTCTCCTGATGAACGTTGTTGTGAAAGTTATGAAACCATTACTCACTGAATGAAAAAGGAAATATAAATTATATTTAATATTTGTTATAAAAAAAAAAACAAAAACAAAAAAACAGCTGTTCTGAATCAGAACTGTTTGTTTTATTTTTCAAGTCGTCCAGAAACATGTCGCCAACCCCATCAGCCGAGGTGAGCCAGTCGTTTCCGCTCGCTCTGTGAATTGCAGTGTGATTGATCTCAATAAAACATTTCCCAATCTGTGCATGTGCGACAGAGTTTTTATGACAGGAGGGACCGCATTCTCCAAAGATCCACCAGTCAAGGCTCCATAGGGTCCCCGGTGTATAATCGCCATGGCTACACTCCCACCCTATCACGGTCACCGCAGCATTTTCACCGACCTGGTGCGTACTCGAAGAGATTAGCACGTGGAGGTTTGGTCATGTTTTTTTTTTTTCTTTCAAAACAAATGATTTCAGGCTTATTATAACATTTATCTTCTAGAAAATGATTCACTTTCCTCATTGTGATGAAAAATTGGTTTGGTAGAATATCTCTTAAGGGTCAATATGTTACCTCCATCAGATAGTTGTTACCTCTGTTTGGAGATTTAGGAGCAATTACTTATTGTAATTTCCAGTAATTAATATAAATAAACGTACAATGGTGGGCACAGCAAACTTAAAAGTTAGTTTCGCTAACCTTAAAGAACTAATTGTAGACAGTTCTGTTAATGCTAAATCACAATATTTAGTGGAAGCTAATGCTAAAACGCTAACTTTAATTGATATCTGCCCTTGATTGAGCAACAATTTAATTTTGATATTATAATTTACATATACTGTGATGCCTTAGGTATTATATTCATATTTATATGTTGCTCTCTACTGTCCGTGTTTTACTTTGGTCCTATTTCTAAATTTGAAATAAAGTTTTCAAACTCCTCATGAGAGAAAACATGAGGAGAGAAAGCCGAACTACTGCCTAAACGGTTTTCACCCACGTCAAAATGAGAGCATGAATATAAACATGTAACTACTTGAGAAATTCATCGGTCGACAACCAAAACTTCATCACAGACGTTGAACTTTATTCAACTAAAACTTTACAAAACACCCAAGTAAATTAGCGCTTTAGAATTAATCTGGTAAAAAGTGTGATAAATGTTTTCTAAGTTAGCAAGATCACTAATGCATTAAGTTAATAATCTAGTACTTTTCTTTCAATTCAGTATTAAGGAACTACTGACTTAAAATAAGCTCCTATAACTTGCTGGAAAGTTATTTGCAAGTTAGTTTTATTTTATTTCAAGTGCACCAAGTTATTTGCACTAGAAACTAGACCAGAAATCCTTGGTAAGACTTTGTGTTTTACCAGTACAATGGTAAAATGAATGGGAAGGTTGGTTAGAGTGGAATGGCAACAGCATGAAGTGATGGTACAAACTAGTAAGGGGGCAAAATGGCCTGTTTTACACTTGTTTTTTTTTTCTATTTCTTACCTTTCACGTTGGGTGTCTTTTATTACTTTTTCACATTTGACTCATGTATTTCTCCCCTTTCCTTTGGCCCCCCGTCGTCTCACCCTTTTACTTCCTCCTCCTCACGTTGTCCACTTCTGCTGCCTGGCACTGGGGTTTCTGCCCCACACCTTTCCTCCCTCCTTGCAGAAGCTCTGACAGGCATGCAGAAGCTCTGCTCCTCCCTGTGCAGTAACAGTGTGGGCTCCAGAAATAGTGACTCTCGTCCCACCTCCCCTTTCAGACACCACTTCCTCCCCCATAGCCAAGGTAAGGGGCCTAAGCCACATGTGTCTGACGCCCAGCTTTGAAGCAACACGTCATTTCCATTCAGTCAGATGGCCGCCCCTCATCAGTGTGTCATCTGTCACCCGGATCCATCTCCATATCCCGTCAGAACCACACCTGTAGTTTGTCTTAAGAAGAGTCTTGCAGCCAAACCCTTACATTTTCACCAACTTGCACCAGTTTGACTGAAATAGCTGACAGACTCACTGTTTGTCTTTAGTCACTTTGCATGCATTTTTCAGGTATCTGCAAAACAAAGTCAATATCTAACGTCTCATCACCGCTATTGGATTGCACAATAGGTCCATTAAATCTAAAACTAAAACACAATAAAAGGGTTGGGCATATTGCCCTCCAAAAATATTCATTCAAACTGAACGTTTTCTGATTTTGTCCCATTACAACCACAAAGTTCAATGTGTTTAATTACAACACAGAGGTACATGACATGCAAAACGTTTTGCAATATAAAATCTGAAAAGTGTGGCATGCAATTGCATTCAGCTTCATTTTTGCTCCCTGGGAAAAAGCAATGCAACCAGTTGCTCTCAGAAGACAGAGTGACTTATAAAAGCCTTGGAGGTTTGTTAGAGAACACGAGTCGGTTTGTGGCTTGAATATGAGAAAATGTGGAAAATTCCACAGGGCACAAATATATCTCCCCTCTACTGCGAAGGTTAGCCGCTGCTTGCTGTGAGGAATTAGTTTCCTGAATAAAAGCTCCTGCGATAAACCTACATTACTTACCATCTCCAGAGCATTTTATCTGTTAGTTTGAGCTGCATCTGTTCAACTACATCAATTGGGTTTTCCAGAATGCGTCTCGTTCATCCAGCATCTCCTCACCTGGTCCTTTTGGCCCCTGTGTGTTGCGCAATTCAGACTTTAGTGAACGTGCTCATGTTCTGTTCTTGGTTCTTCTCACTGGAGGCCCCGACCCACCGAGTGGCCGGAGTTCCCCCCTGCCGCTCAGGCCCGACAGCCGGCCGGTCACCCCGCCTCTCTCTCAGACCCCTAAACATTTCCACGTCCCAGGTAGGAGCTGGAGCGCACCCTGTCACTGCTCGTCCTGTTGACTCTCTTTGCATTTCTGTTATGTTGTTGTCTCAATTGGTTTGTTTCTTTCTGTCTCTCTCTACACCATAAAGGATCCGCTTTTAGACCTACAGCAACAAAATATGTATAAAAAAAATTAAGTTGGCGTATAAACATGATGTACAGTGCAGGTGTCTTGTGTTTTTCCTTTTTTGTCCCACTTAAATGTATCAGATTATCGAACAATTTTAATACCACGCAAAAAAAATCATTTAAGTAAATACAAAAAGCAGTTTTCTAAGTGAAGCTTTGTTCTGTATTTATTTGCTTTCAGATCAGGGGATCAACATCTACAGAAAACCGCCCATCTACAAACTTCACGGTAACTTTCTGCCTAATTCAGGATTTGTTTTGCAGAATAATAATTTATGAAAATTTAAAATTTCCCTTAATGAGTGATTATTAAAACAGAAATGTTTTTAATAGTTATGATTCCCATTCCTGGATATGTTCTATCTAAGTGCTAAATAAAAATGCAAACAATTTCAGGTATTAAATATAAAAACAACAACAAAAACATTTTTGGATGTTGAAGAAAAAATCTCAACTGAACCCAGTTGACTCAGTGTGTTCATCTAATCATAGTCACCTTCAGTGTCAGTGTGATGTTTGAAGTCTGTCTCTAATCCTTTTCTGTCTGTAGTTTGCTTCTACACGGCACTTTGTCCATCTCAACAAGTTCTGAAAATGGTGTGATTATGACTCGGATAAGACAACGTGCAAAACTCTTGCTGGGTTGCATTAGTAGGCGATATTGTTAATTCTTCATGAGCAGCATTGTGCAAGCTAAGTTATAATGTTACGTGGGCTTTAATATATTAATTTATTGGATCTCATTGGGTAGGATTTGTAACCTGAGCTTGCTAGCTTATTAATATATGTCCTGTTTTCTTTGCTAATATAAAATGTATTTAAATTAACTTAAATTCCCCCCCAAAACAGATCCAGTTCACATATTTTTCTTCTTTTAATTGACAAAAAAATCAAAATGAGCTTGAAATGTTTGACCCAGAATTTACCCAATGACGTTAAGTGTGGTTAAGCACATAAGCTGTCAGTCTATTTTCCCACATGAACTAAAGATGAGATTGGAGCTGTTGTTTTAGTTTACTTTTACCTGTTTGATGCTTTAGGTTGAAGCAGCATTTTTCTTGTATTCCCCTGCCTGCAGCAAGCTCAACTCTATTCAAATCTATCAGTTTTCAAGTTTAAAGTGGAGGAAGTATTTTTTTTATTGATAGTAAAAAATAGATATGTGTCTTTAACAGCTTAGTCACTAAGCTTTTACCTCTGAACAGAGATGTTGCAGCTCTATTTTGGATGTTACTGGGTTGCAGAGTTTGCTCTCTTGAATAGACATTAAGTTTTCATCTCAGTGAATTGGATTAGCTGCTCCGGCTTGTTTTATTGCTCTGCATGACACGCAGTGACTTGCTAGGGAAAGTCATTTTTGCACTGTGAACACACGACCCGGTACTGAATGATTGTGGCGCTAAGATATTTCCTCGTGGCTGAGACTGTGACCCAGACACTGATAGTTCAGTTCCCATGGTTACCAACCTAGATACAGCTGCCGTAGCTCAGCAAAGCAAGTCCGGTGAGGACATCATCAGATCCGCCACCTTCCCTGCTGCCCATGCTCCCTCCCTGGATGACAGCTCCCGGAGTGAGGGCGACTGTTGGCCCCACTCTCTCGCTGTTTTAGGTACGGTAGATTGTTGTGTGTGCGCAGCTGCCCCCTGGTGGTAAAATAAAAGCTCACCCAGACCGAGCTCTGCTTGTTTCCTACCCCCACCTTACCTGCCTTCCCTCCATTAACCCCCAGTGTACTCCTTTACCCACCCATCAGTTGCCATTTAAGTTTTGCTTGCGCTGAGTGAAGGCGTGGCTGGTTTCTGTTGCGGCTGTCTTATTTTCTGCTTCAAGAGGTCCTGCTTTATTGCTTCAGCTAATCACAAAAGCCTCACAAATAACCTGGACAGAGATAACTGAGACTGACTTCAAACTTTTGTCTGTCTGTCTTACATTCTGTGTATTTGACATCCTCTAAATTGTGTAATTTAGCTGTGACGTCTGTGTATCCAAATAGTCCAACGAGTCTCTCTCTGTTTGTCTGTCTCGTCAGCTCTGTCTCAGACTTGTGTTAAATCGTCCACCTGTTAGTCATTGAGTCAGCCATGTTTGTTTTGTTTTTCTATGCCCTCAACAAAGAAATCTGGTGAGAAGTTCACATCCTCTCTTTGTAGGTGTCATAATAATTACAGGGGTCTATGTATTTATTTTAGCCATTCTTTTCCCAGGGTGAAACGGCTGCATGAAAGCAGAAATTGGGTTTGACTTTTTTGTTGATTTTCTCTTATGGGTAAAGTATTGAAATGATGCATTAAAGCTCAAATACACACATACACTTCCATAATTCTTCGATTAAGTGTTACTGACTTCTCTGCAGACCCCACACATCCTGGACACAAACTATTTAGACTTTTATATTTAGGTTGGTGAAACACAGTTAGCATATTTACACTACTAGAACCTGTCTTTTGTTTTCTTCTTTTCTTTATATAAAAATGGCTGTACATTTACATACATAAATGCTCATTTCATTATTTGATGTATTTTTTCTAAATGGTATGTATTTACACTAAATGCTGTGAGTGCTTGAAACCGAAGTAAAATTTCTGGAGTCATGGCCAGAAAAGTTGATTCTGATTCTCTTTGTAGTCATTGACGTTCATCTGGAATGTTTCTGGCTGGACTTTTTTCTTTTTTTGTTTTAACTAATGTTTGTGACAGAGTTGGTTGATTGAAGATGGATGGTACTGACCCAGCTAAATGTTCAATAGTGTTGATGTCTGGGCTTTGGGAAGACAGATCCAGAAGATTCATGTTAGTCTGCTTTATTCATTCAAATTTACAGCAACCCACACACACACACACAAGCAACAAAACTTCACGATTTTCATCTTCAGCTCCAATCAAAAGCTAACAGTTTGTAACATGAATCTTTCAACAAGACAAGGATCCCAACACATCAAAACTGGTTTTGGGAAATCTGAAGCAGGCTGACATTAAAACTCTGGAATGGTTTCCACTTTAACTATGTTAAAATTTTACGGTTTATGCTTAAAAGTAAAGTCTGTACCAAGAAACCAATCAATTAAAATGAGCTCCTCCTACTATGTCAAGAACATTGGTCACATTTTCAGCCAGAAGAGGTGAAGTTGCACCTCTTTAAGCATAATGACATCATTTATAGTCTGGATTAATTTTCAGATTCGAGCCTTCGTATTTAGACGTTATACAAAATGGAGTCTAGATTCAAATTTGTTCTTCCAATTCCTTTGTTTTTAAAAAAAAACAGTGAGGTTGTTTGGTGTCTGATGGTTCCACCCTGGAAAAAATGGTTCATTTATAAGAAAATACCTACATTAATCAGCCCTAAATGAGTGTATGTAAACTTTTCACTGGAAGTGTCTGTAAGGCATGGTCTCCTGAAAGGACACAGGTTTGATTCAGTTCTGTCTTAGATGTAATTACGTCTTATGACGGTTTTTGTAACCTCTCTAAAATCCTGTAGGTTCCGAAGGGAGGAGGCGATCTAGAGAAGAGGAGGAGGAAGAGGCTTTGAAAAGAAAGCAACTTCAGGAAGAACATCTCAGTAAGGTTGGTCGGATAATATTTCGATTCCTGTTACTGTAAATACTTCATAGCTGTCTTAGTTTATTCTCCGAAGCTTCTTGGCTTTGGTTTAATGTTTGGTTTTGACTGTGCAGATTCAGTCTGGTCTGGGAAAACTCATTCTGAAGGAGGAGATGGAGAAAGAGCAGATTAGGGAGCGGCACGCGCGCAGCCTCTCTGCTCAGCGCTACGATCCCAAAATGAACAACTGTGACGCAGGTAGCCAGAAACAGCCTCCTCAGCTGCTTTAGTCTTGATTTGTCAGCAATGTACCTTAACAGAACATCTGTACTGTAAATTCCCTGCATCATAAAACATCCAAAGTTAGAAATTAAACTTGGGGTGCTATGGTGGCGCAGGGTTAAAGCACAACTCACGTATGGAGGTCTTAGTCCTCGACGCAGCTGTCACAGGTTCGAGACCTGGCCTGATGACCTTAGCTGTATGTCTTCCCTGTCTCTCATTACTCACTTTCCTCTTTGACCACTCAAAAAAAAAAGACCACTAGAGCCAACAAAACCTTTAAAAAAAAAGTAACTTTTTTTATAAGTACATTGTGTGTAATTTGTGTTTCAGATCCAACGTCTCCAACGAAGACCAACTCTCTGCCTGGTTATGGACGGAACGGTCTGCATCGGGTAAGAAAAACTTGACGTGTTGATGTTACATAAACAGTAAAGAACGCAGCTTTCACACACCGCAAACTTGTCTACATTTTTTCATGTTAACAACCGCAAACTATAATGTGTTTGAAATTAGCATGTGATAGAACAACTGAAAGGAGTGCATAATTGTGAATGTAATTTATAGTTTTCACATTTTTTTCTGAGTGGATTTGTCCTCACTCAGCCTTTCTGAGTTAATATTTTGTAAACTCCCTTCTGGACGCAACTTCTGCGCATGTTACAGGATTTGTCAGATCAACTAAAGTCAGCTGAGCACATCAAACTCTTGTAGAAATCCTCGTGATTTCAACAACAATTTGAAGAAACAATCCAAAAGGTGGCTCTTATTGAAGATATTTTCATAATTTAGACAAGTTGTATTTCCTTCATAAAATGAAAGACATACAAATTAAAGTACATTGAGTACTCAGTGAATATGATTTGGAGAAAGTTGACTGTATTCTGTGTTTCACTCAGGGTGATGGTATAAAACATTTATTTGAGTTTGTGGATTTTGTATGGACCATCAAAGTTGGCTGAAGATAAAAAAGAAATATTATTTCCATCTGAACTGACTACAATATGTTGTTTGGCTTTTATCACTCAAACAAACATTAAGAACGTTTTATATATAAGCATGTTCAACATTTAAATTGTTTGGTTTATTTTACTATTTACTGCATTTTAGTTTTACATATCTGAGTGTCTGTCTGTGTTTTCCTTGTCTGCTTTTTGTCACTACTTAGTTGTATTTTGTTAGGTTATAGTTTGTATTATGCTTTATGTTTAGTTATGCGAGTATGTTCATAATTTTGTCCAGTAAATAAAACCTTAATGCACACCAGTAGGGGGGTGAATATTATGTGTCAAGAAATCTATGGAAACAGATTTCGAAACATGGAGTGAAACCTCTGTAAGATACATTTTTCCCTAAGTTAACAAGCTGATTTCCATGTTTTTTTGTTTTGTTGTTTTTTTTTTCAGCCTCAGTCTACAGATTTCACCCAGTACAACAGCTATGGAGACATGTGTGGTGGAGGAAGAGGTGAGCACTTCAAACCGAACAAAGCCACACAAAGCAAGTTTCACCAGAGATATTCAGCATTAGAATTGGCTTGTAAAGCATACATATACAAAGACATGCACTTTGAAATATTTGATTTTCATCAAGGACAGCAGTGCTGTAGATAAAAGTAGCCTTGCAGGGGGACTCGACAGCAAACCATTAACTGTGAGTCTCATTCTTTGTCCCATTTTGTCCTGCAGAGTTTCAGGTATGTCTCTCATCTGCTTTTCTTCACATGGCATGCCTCCTCATCTTTGCATCATATTCTATGCTTGGTCATTGGGTTGCAAGAGTCACCTTGCCCTGAATGCACACCACCCACTCCTGCTCCTTGCTTGCATCACCGTTTGAATTAGTTTCAACTACAGGGCATATTGTGCCGTGGTTTCCAACAGATATAAGAATCAAACACACATATGCCAAGTAGCTGAACAACTGTACTGTAAATGCAATGTACAACCATTGCCTCATGTCTTACTCTGTGTTGTTTATCAATGTGATGACTCAAGCTACATGTTATACTTATTTCTTCAAATGAACTACAGAAAAAAACAACAACCGCTGTTTATTTAGGAAAGCTGTAAACGACTGCCCATCTTTAGTACTAAGAAACTGAGCTGTATTCAAGCTACTCGCTCCATCCAGTAAAAACTGCACCCACTGTCATGAGTGGATGTATATTCATGCCATGAACCTTGCAGTCCCCTTCCACTATATTACATGTGTATATGTTCTGTCCTTTAGCACATTAAGGATGGCCATGCAGCACTTGCAAGGATGGACAGGGGAGTATCTATGCCTAATATGTTGGAACCAAAAGCAAGTATCTTCTTCTTTTTGTATCAATTACAAATGAGATGCATTAAAAAAGAGTACAATGTCTCATATTTGATTGTATTTGAATGTTTATAGTGAATTTAGAAATATAGAGCCTTGCAAAAAACATTCATATTCCTTTAAACCTTTTCACATTTTGTCCCATTACAACCACAAACTTCTATGGATTTTATTTGATGGAGCAACACGAAGTAGGGGACAATTGTGAAGTGGAAGGAAAATTATACATTGTTTTTCAAATGCATGCATTTTTATCCCACCCACTTTACTGTGATGACCTAAAAATTAAATTCAATGCAATGTCAAATAAAATGCAGGTGTGTGTAATTTAATTGGCTTAAATAGCCTGCCTTGAAAACAATATAAGAGCAATGTACATTGTAAAACAATGTACAAAATATTTATTTTCTTGCTCTTTCTTTTGTAAATATGATTATCAAAGCAACAACTGAAGACAGTAAGTTCATAGAATAAACCAGGAATGTAGGGGTTACAGACACAAGTCAAACCTTCTCAAATTTAGAAGGGAAAATGTAAAAAAAAAAAAAATATATATATATATATATATATATATATATGTGTGTGTGTGTGCTGAAATAGCAAAAACTGGCGATCAGGCATGTACTTTAGTGGCCTAGTCAAAGTCAAGACTGTACTCAGTTTAGAATTTTTGGTCAAACTTGAAAACCACAAGTCCTGATTGAGGTTGAGCTATATTGCAGAGATGTATGTGATCAACTTTCAGTATCTAGAGGAGCCAAGTTATTAGAGACTTACCAATTTTTGCCTCAGGATGGTTTAAAACTAATGCACGCTCCATCCATCTTGTCATCAACTTTTCTGACACTGCTAAAGAGAAGGGTCCCACAGCATGGTGCTACAACCACCATGTTTCACCATGGAGATGCTGTGGTTGACTTTAACTGGGCCATCCTAGCACATCAGTATACTTTGACCTAAACATTTCCTTAGCTGTAAGTAGTTGCGCAATGTTTAGGTTCAGATGGATAGTATAAAAATGTTCACAACTTTTCAGATTTTAAGATAAAAAAAACAAACAAACAAAAAAAAAAACGTATTGTGTAAAATTTCTCTATCCCACTAAAAACGCAATGAATCTTGTGGTTGCAATGACTCAAAATGTGAAAAAGTCCAAATGCCAGGGCTACTTTAGCAAGAAACTGTATTTAAGAGATAACAAATGGGCTAAAATATGATCAGATAGAGCGGGGACAGTTAATGTAGTTTTTTTACAAAAAAAATAAAAAATACAAAAAACCCCCAATATATTCTTTTAGCAAAACAACAAAAGACTCACTTTAGCTGGGTTCCTGATTCAGCATGCCGCTTAAGGAGCTGCCGAGTCACTCAAGCGCTTATAGCATGCTGGCTTCTTCATGCTCATCTGCACATGGCTGTGACTCAAAGTGACTGGATACTGTATGCAACATACAGTGTAAAAGTCCAGTCATTCATCCAAACAACTCATATCACTATATACTGTGTATGTAGTGTGTAAGGGCATTACTGTGTGGATATGAGTTGGTCAGGGGCTTCAAGGAGCTTTCAGTTGCTTATTATTGAGCATCTCAGCTGGGATTAGGATTAGCTAGTTTATTCCTCAGTTAGTTGGAAAAATACCAGCACCTGGAATTTCCAGGACAATCATTCCCATGTGGATTTATATGGCCTACATTAAAGATGTTGGTTCTCTTTTTTTTTTTTTTTAGTTCCCATTAAATATTAAATGCTTCTCAAACTATAACCAGTTACATGAGTTTGAAGTCATTTTTTTCCTCTCTTTATCTGGTAGTTTGCACGTTTGAGCACTAAAAGATTGTGCACATCAAAGCACCTGCATTTCCTGAATATCCTTAACAAAACAAACCCAGTCAGCCTCCTGTCACATACCTGCTCTCCCATCCTTTCTCACAGTCAGAATTACCCAAAAACTTCAAATTTAGTGATTTTTGTTTGGTGATATCTGTTCGTTTCTGGGACTTAGCTAAAGGTTTTATTTGTTTAATGATGCATGTCTCCTTCTGAAGGTGTATCCCTATGAAATGCTCATGATAACCAGTAGAGGGAGAGCTAAACTGCCAAGGGATGTGGACAGAACCAGACTGGAGGTATCAGTTTTCCTCCTGACGCTCCTCAGTTAACACTGCATTTTGATTTTGTGTCAACAGCATTGTTACACAAACTTACATCTGTAGCTGAGAACATGCAGTATCAGTTGCTCCTTGTTATTTTTGCAGCAAAACCCTTTTTTTACAGCTTTGACGCTAACTGAGAACCCCCACCATCCCCCCTCCTTTGTTTTTTCTCCACCTTTGTTCTCATTTCTAGCGCCACTTAGCACCCGAAACGTTCTTTGAGATCTTTGGAATGGAGATCCAGGAATTTGACAGGCTTCCCCTGTGGAAACGCAACGACATGAAAAAGAAGGCCAAGCTCTTTTAGTTGTTGTTGTTTTTTTGTTGTTTTCTAATTTATAGCATGCATTATTCTGTACATACAATCAGATAGCACACAGTTGTAATCTAGATGTAGGTTCTGGGTTATTTCCTTTCCCTTTTTTTTTGCATATGTCACCTGGATATACCTGGGGATGCCAAGAAATGGACTGATCTTGCGATGATGGACTTCAATAATGAATGGAAACTTCTTCCATGTTCAAAAATGACAAAGAATGATGAGAAGGGTCAAGTTTTATTTGCTTTGACTGCACTTATTTTACCTCCTGCTTTGCTTTAAGTGAAAATCCTTCCTTTATGTTACTGCTTGTTTCTCCCTATTTGTTGCTGTTGATTCCCGTGGAACTTTGTAATTACAGTAGACCATCATGGCACAGTCACAAAAATGCCCATGCCTGTAGCTCAAAAATCTGTCAATTTTTTTGTTTTGCTTGGGCTGAAACAGTTTTAGCCCAAAGGTTTCAAGAATCGGCTCAGTGAGTCTTTTAAGATACAATACGATGAGAAAAGCCTGTGGGAACACGGTGAGCACACGCACCAACTGTATGACTGGATCTACGTGGAAATGAATCCTCCAATAGCCGGCATATCACCAGTCTCCTTTCCCCCTGGCTTCCATGCACACAAATTGTTCATCTGAATGGACAAAAAAATGTCTCTTTTCTCAGGCTGTCATAAACAAAGTTATACACCTTACCTTTACTTATATTGGAAGTATGAATCTTATGTTTTAAGGCTGTTTCCAACATGTAGTTACATTAAAATAGATACGACCCCCTATTTCAAGAAACAACTGTATTTGAAAGTATTGTTTTATAAATGGAAAAAACACACTGCCATTTGTTGTATTGAAATCTAAGCCAATAAAGCTTTAAATTGCCATGAACCATGAACACTGGTCCTCTGCCATCCCAAAGTTACCCTCAGCCTCTTTTCTAATATTTTGTTCCCACTTGATGTGGACTTTTGTGGATGTTAGCACAGGGTGGGAAATGATCCTAGGACTGAAATACAAACCTAAAATCTTCATCAGAAGTCTTCATTTAACTTTACTGTAATAATGCTGTAAAATACTCACACCACTGTCGCCCGTTGGAATTTTTCTGAAAGTTTTCTCAACTGAAAAATAATTCAGTTGAATCAAGACAGGCTATGACTTCACTTTACTTAGATTTTTTTTATTCTAAATAAAACCAATACTTAAAATATTTATATAAGAAAAGTTCCCATACAAAAGAATGATAATCTTTAAGTTGCCACTTGTATAGCAGGAAACATGAGTAAATGAAGTACAAGTTGTAGAAAAACGTCTTGAGGTATTTGTGTTGCTTTGAATTCATTCCCGGTTTGAATATGGGGCGTATATTGATGATGAATTCACAGTGTTCGGCTGAATCAGGATGTCACTTTTACCATCACATCACATTTTCGGGGATTTTTAAATTTAATGTTCAAGTGACCATCTGGTAATGACATTTCCATGATCTTTAAGAGCCTTAAGCTGGAAGATAGTTCTTAAATTAATTGTACAAGTGGAAAGTAGTTCATGCCGTTAGTTTTTCTATTTCAGTTTCAAGCATTCGGCATCCTGGAATGAGTGAATCCTTATTAGTGCAGACAGAGCGCTTGCATAGATTTTTATAAAATTAAGTAATGACACACTTGGATGCCGATGAGTGTGATGCCATTTACCCTACAAAACAATATGAACTAAAGGGCAACTGGCTTCAGCTTGATACTGGTGCTTGACAATGTGATAATGTTTTTGGATGGTAAAAACAGCAGGGAACCTAAACTGCCTTTTAAAAAAGGTGTGGGGATGTCCTCCCCAAATTACTTCTGTGATTATTTACCAAAAGCAGTTTATCATTCCAAACCATTGAAAAGCAAGACAGATATGTTATACTACTCAGAGTATTGCATTCCTTTCAGAAACTGATGCTGATTCTTCAGGTCTGAACTTGATGAATCAGCAGGTTCAGATGGTCAGTCTGCTCTGACTTCTGCTTCTTCAGCAGCTTTCAGCTGACCTGTTGAAGTCCCACCATTCATGCAGTACATGTTAATTTTGCAAGTCCATAGTTGTGTCAAAAAACATTTGCAATGAGTGCTGAAAACATTACACTACAGAAGGCTCCAGTCTAAGATTTACTGCATTGTGGTGAAGGGAAACATCCACAATTGCACTCTTTTATGGTTTTCCCTTACTTTATCTCAGAAAACTATGTCCCCAAACTCTTTTTTCTTAATCAATCAGGGGTTTCCTCCTTTGAGTTTGCATTTCCATCTATGAAGTTTGATACCTTCTGCAATATTTTCCCTTTTCTTCTGTAAAAACTAAAACTGAAATTCCATACGTATACCTTACAATCTCCTTTGTATTTATTTGTTTAGTTTTCTACAACTCCTACCCAGATTTTCTGTTCTGCATTTCTCCGCTTTAGTCCTGTTTGATCTTGTTTTTTGTGACCCGTTGGATCATTTTGTGTGTTTTGCTGTGAACATCTCAACTCTGCCTGGACTTTAGTTTCTTCCCAGGTTGTTTGTGGTTTGTGACATTTCACTTCAACAGAGGACCCAAACTGAATCTAAATAGTTAGAAAAAAAAAAAAACTAGAAATGAGCACTTGGGATCTCAGCAGGGGCAGTAAGGTTTTAAAAATAGAGAGATAAAAAACTTAATCAAAACTTGAAGTCTGCACAATAACCACAAAGATTTCCATGACAATTGTAGATTGTGATTTATTTATTCTCAAATTGAGAATAAAATTTCACATCTTGGTCTATTCTCAACAACTTTCTTCTGCAGGGTTCAACTCCATCTTTGTAGAATAAAGACATGTTCACCAATGTCTACAGTAGAAATGGTGTGTGTATGTCAATCTGTGCAGAAATGGTACAGCAGTCATGTGACATCTGTTCAGGCAGTAACATGTTTAAGCTATAGTGGACTGACACAAGTACAGAAATATTCTTTTCTTTTTTTTGTCCATGCGTGTATCAGCAGCAAAGTGACAGGTAAATGGAAGCATGTAGACTCACACAGATGAAGATGCATAACTAAAAGAAATGAGACTGTATAGTAAAGGCAAATTTACAACATTTAAAATTGACTGTACAGTTGAAGAAATTCAAAGAAATATGCAACTGAGTAAGATAATTTTAAAAAAGTGGATAAAAATCAATATATGGATGCAAATCAATAGAGTGCTGGTCTTATTACAGAATATACATAAAGTCTGATCTGAAAGTATTTACACCCCATAAATACAGATTTGAATATCGTTTTCATTGTTGAAACTCAACACAACTCAAAATACACACACAAAATAATGCACAATGGCAAAGACAAACATATTTTAGATATTTTTTATACATTTGTAAAAAGAAAAACGGTAAAAGTATACCCTTTTTTTAAGTACTTAAAATTGAGGTCAGGTGCATCTTAATTCCACTAATCCTTAAGATCCTCCTGCAGAGTTCACCTGAGGTAAATTGAGCTGACTGAGCATGAGTTAGAAATAAATCCTCTTGTTGCTTTAATTTTGCAGAAACATCTGTAATAGATTGTTAGAACAGATATACAAGAGTCTCAGGTCTGATAAAGGCAAAGTAGATCTTTTTTAGGCTTATATTCCAAGCTTTATGTATTGAGAAAAAGCAGCCACTGCTCAGGACCTGACTAACACCATCACTATAAAGTATGGTGGTGGCAGCATGATGCTGTGGGTATGAACCTCTCCTCCGGGCAACTTGTCATTAAAGTGGCAAAGGACAAATACAGAGACATTTCTCAAGAAAACATATATGACAGCTTGTAAAGAAAATAGTAGAAAATTTTCCAAAACCGTGTAGGGCTTGTAGAGACATACAAGCCAAATGATTTACAGAACAGCTACAGTGCTAAGACGTGATGCAAGAAAGTAGTCTCTCTTTAAACAATGTTCACACTCAGCCACCACTTAGTTGCAGTTTATATTTTACGGTGAGCAAATCATCAGACGTAAGCTTGCTAAATAGTGTGCAATCTTTCCCCACAGGAGACATTAGAAAAGCATCTAGTGTCTTTGAAAAAACAAAGGGATGCTGTGAAACACAGACTGAAGAAACTGGCAGCCCGTCAGTCAGAAATCACTGTGAGTTTTACTATGGTTTCTGAAAAAGGCTCTATATGTGTAGAGAGTTTAACAATTTCTCTACGAATGACCCACCAGCAGAATTTTATTTGATTTCAATGTCTACTGTACCTAGAAAAAGTCTGCAGCGATAAGAGAGAATGTAGCGATGAAATATAAGGAGATCCAGATGGTTCTGGAGGAGGACCTGCGGCTCACCTTGTCCCACCTTGAGATGGAGGAGAGGGCTGCCGTCTCTGCCTTGGATGGACTGATGGAGAGAAACTGTGCTCTGATCCAGGAAATAGAGCAGGACTTGGCCAGACTTTCTTTAGTTTTGGAGCACAGTGACACAGAGCCTGATTCTATGGTAAAAACAACAACAACAACAAAAAAAAAACATATGAGAGTTTAAATGTAAAGAGCAAAAACCTACAGCTGACCTAGATTTTCCACTATTCCTCAGTCGTTTGTTTTACATGCTGAACTGGACGACACAGAGACAGCAGACAGGTATGGATAATTACAACTCCTGTTTTGTGATTCTTCACAAAGTGTTCCTCTTCAGAGAATTATAAGAGGATTTTATGTGACGACCAACACAAAGTAGTGCACAACTGAGAAATGCAAGGATGATAACTTATGGTTTTAAAAATCTGAAAAGTGTGGTGTACATTTTTTTTCCACCCCTCAGAGTCTAATATTTTGTGGAACCATATATAACACTTAAAGTTGTAGTTGTTGCACATCTTGAAATTGTTTTGCCAATTTAGATCATTCTCAGTCAGATAAGAGGAGGAGCAATCTGACAAGAAGGAAATAAAACTCTGCAGCATGATGGTACCACCACCATGTTTTACAGAGGGGATTGTCTGTTCAGGGTTATGAACGTTTTTAACCACATAGAAATTTGCAAGTAGGACAAAAAGTTTAATTTCAGCCTTGTCTGGTCAGACCTCATGGCTTTCTTAATGCCACTCTTTGGTAGAAGATTTGTAGATCACACCACTTGATTCCTGTCAACAGATTCTCCCAGCTGAGTGGTGGATCATTGCAGTTAACATGGGTCTCTTGCCTCCTTCTCTGTTTAATTTTCCTTTCTTACAATTACTTTTTGTGTAATCATTTATTGTAATGATCATCGTGACGATTAATCAGATATTTAAAAAAACCCGCACACATTCTACTGATTTTTTTACTTAAGTTATGAATTACCTTGTGTTGATCCTACCATAAAATCCCAATAAAATAAACTGAAGTTTGTACTTGTGGCATGATTAGAAAATGTCTGCTAAAAAAAAAACTTCAGCAGGAATTTTCAAGGCATTATGCCAATATGTAATACTTCCTTTATGGTTTTCATTCGTCAGAGTGTTGGATGTCCTCAACCAATCAGATCCCAGCAGTGTGAGCCTCGATGAAGCTAAAGCTAACCAGATCCTCAGCCTCACCAATAGCATGCTGCTCCTTGTCTGCTCGCAGACCCCGTTAATGAAGAAGCTCCTGAAAAGCTGTCAGTTCCCACATCACCTTCCTTCTTTACACCGCTATCTCTTTAGGAAACATTTTATGCTGAATTTTCCCCATTTGTGTCCAGATTCCAGTGAGGTGCACCTGGACCCAGAGACGGCCCACCCAAAGTTGGTCATCTCCCCTAAATGTGACAGCGTCTCCTACACAGACGCCTGGCAGAAACTCCCTGACCAACCGGGACGGTTCGACACCACCCTCAATGTCATCAGTCTGCAGGGCTTCAGCTTTGGCCGCCATTACTGGGAAATCGATGTGACTGGGAAGACATACTGGGAGCTTGGTGTTACCTATCCCTCCATTCCTCGCAAAGGTATATCTGAGGAGTGCTGGCTGGGTCGGGGTGCCGTGTCCTGGTGTGTGGAGTTCTTCGATGGGGAATACACGGCCTGGCATGGAGGGGTGCCTCACCAGCTGCCTTTTACAAAACATTTCTGTCGAATTGGTGTTTTGTGCAGCTTCCCTGGCGGGCTGGTGACATTTCTAGAGGCGGACAAAATGACGCCACTGTTCTCATTCTGTGCTGGAACCTTCTCTGAGTGCCTCCACCTGGCCCTGTGTCCTGGTCACAACCACAGGGGCGCCAATTCAAGTGCTATTGTAATCTGTAATGCATCGTCTCCTACGAGTGACCTGTAGCTGAATAAGAATGCACACTAAGAACATGACTTACAAAAATGCAGGGCTGGCACAAGATTTTTTAGGGACCCTGAGCAGAATAGGATTTGGGGTCCCATTTCCATTTTAGCCCACCAATCACAACAGCACCAATCATGTGTCCTGTTCAAACGTAACTTATTTGATGTTTTGCGTTTGGTTTCATTGCTACCTTGTAAGACAATTAAATGGATAATAAATTTCTTGTTTTTGATTTGACTTTTTGATTTTTATCACATTCATTCAAATAAAATGAGCAAAGAATGAAATTAAGTTTAATTTGGCTCAAAGACAGTTTTACAATTAGGAATTGCATTAAAGGAGACTTGAATGTTATGCTTACAGAACAAATATAAGTATCTCCGCCAATGACCAATGTTCATTTTTATTGATCAACATTCAGCATCTTCTTACAATGAAGTAATTTGGCAGCATATGGACAAATACTGTCTTTATTTAATTGTTAAAACAATATTTAAGCATGTGACTGCTTTTAAAGATTATTTTTATGTTTAAAGGGCCACAAAAAAAAAGAAAAAAAAAAGGGGTGGGTTTGGCCTCCAGGCCTCGAGTTTGACACAGGAAGTAAATAAAATATTTTTTAAAATTTAATTTATTTGATAGCTGCAAAACTGTAAAAAAATATATCCTTGTTAAAATCCTAGACGGATTCTTGATCATAAGCCTCTAATTTAGAGGTCATGCTCCAGCATTAAATTGGATTTAAGTCCAGATTTTGGCTGAGCCTCTCCAAATCCTTCTTTTCTTTTTAGCCTGTCTGAGGTGAACCTGCTGCTATGCTTCGGATCCTTACCCTGTTGTGCAACCCAAGTGTGCTTGAGCCTAAGGTCGTGAACTGTGACCAGACATTTTCCCTCATGACGCTCTGTTAGGGAACACAGTTCGTGGGTAGATTGATTGCAGCAATTCATTGAGGTCCATAAGTTCAATTGTCTTTTTCTGAAATACTGTGGAAAGTTTTACACCAATACGACTCACACCGTCCAAAAGGTTCTAAGTTTTTAATGACTTTGAAACGGGCTTGTTCCATACAGGTCAAGATAAGGGCTTTCACTTTAGTTGGAGTGCCAAAGTCTTAGAAATGACTTTGCAATCTTTTCCAGACAGACAGATGTCAATTACTTTGTTTCTCACCTGTCATTGAATTTCTTTAGATGAGTCCATGATACTGTGTTTTTTAAGATCTTTAGTCTACTTCATGTTGTCATACAGGTTGCATTTATGTGATTTCTTGATTCTACTGATGAGATAATCACCATGGTGACTGTGGGAAATTAAACTGAACCAAAACTATTAGTTCACAAAGGGGAGCAGTCAGGTTTCGACAGACGTTTGGTTTTAGTAGCTTTTTTCTCTTTAGGAATGAAAACATAATTTGAAAACTACATTATGTATTTAATTAGGGTATCATTGTCTGATTTTTATATTTGTGTGATAATCTTAAATGTTTAGTTACTTTTTTATTTCTTCTTTTATTTTTCTTTTATTTTTATACAAAACTGATCAAACAAATACAGATAATTTATGTCATCAAGTTTACTACATTACATATTACATGAATTTTAGTCTTTCCCCTAATTTATTAAAGCAAATGAACTTTTCAATAATATTCTGATTTATTCAGACGTCCCTGCTGAAATATGCATGTCCTGAAATGGCATCGCTGTATAAATACTCCACTTGTTGATGTGCTCAGTGTATGTGATTCAAAGTCTACACGCAAACAAACAGTGAGGTTTTAGCAAACATGCTCTCTGAGCATTTGTGTTGGAAGTGCAGGGCTCACTCTTACAATATGATGCTTTTTAATGTAAAAAGTCTGCAAACATGTCACAAATAACACTAAAAAAATCATGCAATATTCATAATAGCTGTAAAAACATCTTTATGCCATTGTAGGGTCTCTTATTGTAGAGTTTAAATCAATAAAACTGACTCAGCATCATGGATGAGTGCCAGATTAAACTAAAGTTTCAAAGGTTAGTGTCCTTGTGTAAAAATGTAGGAAAAAGTGCGAGTTCTCTGCAGAGCTGCACAGTCTCATTTGGACCTCCTGGACGTCGTCTGGTGCTCCGTCATCATGAAACTGAAGCTGCTCCTCATTTTCCTCTTCTTAGCTGTGCTCTTTATCCCCACTGAAGTAAGTACTTACAACATATATTATCTTAAAACAATGTAGTAAATGCAGCACTCTTAATTACAACTGTATTTTTTATTATTATTATTTTTCAATTATTATTGTGTTTGGTGGAATTATTTATTAAATGCTTTAACAAATTTCTAACTGTCATTTTTCGTAAACCAGTCAAAACCCAAACACAAAGACAAACACAAAGACAAACACAAAGACAAACCAAGAGGACACGGGCGGGAGAAAAAGAAGCAAACATTTGAAGATATAATTGAAGGTTGGAACTCCATTTTGTCATAAAATACTGATCCTATAATAAAAGAAAAAATCAACAAAAGAAATTATGTATTCCAAATCTGAAATAAAAATATTTTAGATATCATCTTCAAGGAGTCATCTGATGACGATGACGAAGATCACTCTTTTTTGGACTGGCTTCGTGACCTTCAGGATCTAGATGGTATAATGATTAGACCTACTCTTTAAAAAGTTGTGTATTTCTTTGCCTGATTAAAACCTCCTTCCATTTAATTTGCCAGGCGAGTGTATGCCCAATCCCTGTCTTAACAACGGTGTATGTAAGCAAAAAGGCAGGAGAGGGTACAAATGTGACTGTCCCAGGCCTTTCAGGGGAAGGAGATGCGAGAAAGGTTGGATGAAGCTGTCATCTTCTTCCTATTGAAGTTCCTGTCAGTGTCCAACTAAGACTGTAAAATCATCAGCTACTGTTTGTGCTTATGGTTGTCAGGCCCGAAAGTGTGCAGAAGAGGTGTTTGTGGTCGGGGTGAGTGTGTGCTGACTTCAACCGCTCCTTTCTACGAGTGCAAATGCAAATACCCGTTCCAGCCTCCAGACTGCAAACGATGTAAGGAACAAACAGCAAAACTACATCTTCAGCTAGTTACATTCCTAAGACGTTTATTGTGTGTATTTGATTCTTCTTTTGTGCAAAGATTCTGTGTGTGAGCCCAACCCGTGCAGAAATGGTGGCCAGTGTGTCCAGGAAGGGAATGACTTTGACTGTCAGTGTCCCGAAGGGTTCAGTGGACGCTTCTGTCATGTTGGTAAATACTGCACTTATACTTTGACACATTTTATTGCATTATTGCTGCAGTTTAAAAATGTCTTCTTAAATAAAACCCATCACTCTGGTGTCCCTAAATAAAATCTAATATAGCCAACTACCTTCAGAAGTCACATAATTGGTAAATGGACTAGACCTGTGGAGTCAAAACTACCAAGTCATGTCTGCCCACCTAAACTGACAAGAAAGGCATGGAAAACTTTAGGTAGTGCTAATATTAGCACTAGAAGAGAAGAAAAAAAAGTACATTCCTTAGTTTTGGCTAATCTTTTGAAAGTACAAAGTCTTGTTGGAAGACTAATAAGTCTTGATGGAAGAGAGGTAAAGAAAAATAAAGTCAAGTCATGAAAGTTTGCTATTCACCACAAAGTATGAATAGGACACCCCCAACGTAGAGGAAAAGGGATTTTTTCTTTTATACTGCCCATTACCCTGAACACAACACCCACACGGTGAAGCAGGGTGGTAGCAACATCATGCTGTGGGGATGTTTTTCTCGAGCAGGTCAGAAGTTGACGTTAAGGTAGATGGAGTTAAAAACAGGACAGTCCTGGAAGAAAACCTGTTGAATGTAGCTAAAGACTTGAGACTGTTCTTCCAGCAGAACAATGACCCAAAACATATGATCAGACCTGATACAAGTTAAGAATCTGTGTGAAAACCAATGTTCACAAACCCTCTTCATGCAACCGCACTTCAGTATCTTGCTAAGTAAAACAGATCAAAAAATACTTGCAGTCTAAGCTTAATATGTTTCTATAAGTTATTGACTCATGAGGGGCTCACAGCAAGTGCACACTGTTTTTCGTTTCTTTGTTTGTTTATGGTCTGTCAAATAAAACTTTGGAAAAAGGAAAAACAGAGGGAACAAAGGAAAAAGAAAAGGGATGGAAAACGTGACACATTCACACTATGTGAGTTTTCTACTTGTTTTTAGGTCCAAATGACTGCTATGTGGATGATGGCGAGTCTTACCGTGGGAATGTGAGCGAGACAGATGATGGCTTTGACTGCCTCTACTGGAACTCCCACTTCATCTTGGAAAACGCAGCTGATCCCTTCAACTCGTTTGAGAATGATGACGGCCTTGGCCCTCATAACTTCTGCAGGTCGGAGCAAAAACAGGACTGAACTGTATTACAACTACTACAGTCAATATTATGGATTTATGGTACATTACTTAGCTTTTTTTAATGTTGCAGAAACCCAGATGGAGAACCAAGGCCCTGGTGTTTTTTCAGAAGAGGACTAAGATTGTTTTGGGACTACTGCGATGTGAATAAATGTCCTAAACCAACAGGTCCACCACAAAGCTCCTAGTAGGTTTCTGACTCTGATGATCAGATCAACAAACAATAAGCTATTTGTTTGCATTTTCAGGCAGACCCGAACCTCCTACTGGTGGCCCCCAGACCCCTACTAGTGGCCCCCAGGCCCCTACTAGTGGCCCCCAGACCCCTACTAGTGGTCCCAAGCCTCCTACAGTTCAGCCGCCACCGACTACCACTGAAGCAGCAAAGACCACCAAGGAACCGATAGGCCCCCCCGTTGTGCCATCTCCATCTCCTGCACCGAAACAGTTCGAAACTTGCGGAGTGGCTCAACCAAAAAAGACCTTAACTCGAATCTTTGGGGGTCTGAAAGTCAGTCCCGGAGCAATACCCTGGCAGGTTTCTCTGCAACAGAAACCAAAGAACTCCAACATGAAATACAGCCACGTCTGTGGAGGAGTTCTGATCAAGAGCTGCTGGGTTCTGACAGCTGGACACTGCATGTAAGAAAACAACCCTCCAAATCTGAAGAATTTAGATTGTGACTTTCATTCAGCTCTTTTGTTTACTGGGTGTTTTGTTTTTCACAGTGAACAAAACAAGGACATGCAGGTGGTGATGGGTACCCTGTCACTGGACATACATGATCCTTCAGCTCAAGTCATTCAAGTTGAGAATGCAATTGTCCACGAGAACTACA